TGCACCATTTCCCCGGCTATAGTATATTCAGGATCGCTCATTCAGCAAGAAAATGTGGCTGGTGATAGCTGTAGTAGTTGTGCTGTTAGCTCTTATCTACTGGAATGGAGTCAAAGACTTCTCCTTATTGGCAGAGATTCCTTTARACGGGCCCAAACCTTGGCCGTATGTTGGTAACATTCTCGATGTGTTCAAATATGGAGGCCTGCACAAAACATATATGGCTTACTTCAAGGAATACGGCCGCGTTTACAAAATGGCCATCGGTAGGAAGCCAACTATTGTCGTCAACGATCCTGAAATGGTCAAACAAATCACTGTGAAAGAGTTCAGCAAATTTCGAAACCGTACACTACCTATACAGTTAAATCCACCGCTATCATCTGGAGTATTCTTTGCACGCGATGCTACTTGGAAGAGAATTCGCACGACTCTCAATCCAACGTTTAGTGCTGCCAAACTGAGGCAAGTCGTGCCTCTTATTGAGACGTCGTGTGATAAGTTGGCCAAGAAAATGCACAAGTTTGCAGAAACAGGTAAGGGCTGCGAAATTGGTAGCAAATTTAGACGATATCCTTGAACTGTTCTTCTCATCACAAGTAAACATAAAATTTCGTAGCCAGAATTAATGGTTGGGGATAAAGATGTTGAGTTCACCTGGGATGTATAAATATGTTTAAGCACGGCCATCGGTAATTTTTGTGGCCTCAGGGGAAAAGTCCTGCAGAAGACTTAAGCGTTATTTTTGTGGTTTTGGAAGTTTCTTTTGGCCATTTTCTTGGTAACCTTTCGAGCTTGTCATCGTTAATGGGTAATATTTATTTTAATTCGTTGAGCAACTGTCACGCTTTAGAAATTCCTTTCACTGTGATCAGTCTACTGCRACGAAGTGCACTTGACCCTTGAACACTAACAAGATTTACATGATCGTATATACATGTGCAGGCGTTATAAAGAAAAATTATACAGTACGTCGATCATGAAACTATTACATATATTGCCTGCAATTTTAGCCTCTTTTTTGTTTCATTTTCTGTTCTCTTCAACGATTAATCATATTCTGCTAGACCTCCTCCACCCTTCTCTTTCTCCTTCTTCTTCTCCTTCTCCTTCTCTGCCTTCTTCTTCTCCTTCTCCTTAATTCTGCTTCTCTGCCTTCTTCTTCTCCTTCTCCTTAATTCTGCTTCTCATCCTCCTCCTCCTYCTCCTTTGACTTCTTCTTCTTCTTGATCTTCTTCTAGCTTGTTCTTTCTTCTTCCATTCGATCTCCTTATGTCCTCTTAGTTCTTTATTAGTTATTTCTTGTCATCTTTTGTTCATTCTTCGCCGGATTGTATACACAATGTTACGCTAATATTCTTTTAATTTTTACTCAGGTGAAAGCKTGAATTGCACGAAGCTTTTCAGTCTGTTTGCATTGGACGTCATTATGAAGGCAGCATTTAGATACGACGTAGACATTCAAAACGATGCCGAAGCAACTTTCATAAAACGTGCAAAAGAAGCTTTAAAAACACCAATCTGGATTCGCTTTTTCTCCATGTTTCCCTTTAACAAATACCTCAGCAAGCTCACAAACCCTATCGGACACCTCGAATATTTCGCTGGTATTGCTCGATCGATGATAGAGAGCCGAAAAAGTGTTGGACACGTCGAAACTGGAAGACGCGACCTGCTGCAGTTGATGCTGGATGCTCACGAGGAAGAGCTAGCTGAGGGTCTCACAAGATTAAGTGACGAAGAATTGGCAGCTCAGTCGGTGATATTTTTGCTTGGAGGCTTTGAGACCACGGGTACTACCCTGTCATGTGCGGCCCACGTGCTAGCGACAAGACCAGACATACAGGAAAAGCTGATACAAGAGATAGATAAAGCGCGCGAAAACAGGGAAAGTGAGTCTTTGTATGATTTTGTCCAAAAAATCGATTACCTTGATCAGTTTATTTCAGAAGTGCTTCGCATCTATAGCCCAGCCTTCAACCTCATTCGGGAGTGCAATGAGGAAGTTGTGATCGCAGGGGTCCGCTTTCCCAAAGGAATAGACGTGACTATTCCAAACTACTCTCTCCATCGCGATCCAGATTCATGGGAGAAACCAGAGGAGTTCAATCCAGGCCACTTCACAGCTGAGGCCAAGGCAAAGCGTCACCCTTACTCTTATCTCCCGTTTGGTATCGGACCTCGACAATGCATTGGAATGCGCTTTGCTATGAATGAGATCAAAATTGGCTTGTTCAATGTGCTTGAGAAATTCAAATTCGAAAAAGCACCGGAGACTGTTGAGATCGAGGGGAGGGCGGTCCTCCTGATGCGCCCAAAGGATGACATTACTCTCAGAATTGTTGAGCGCTAAAGTTCCTTCCAATAGACCCCCTCAATGTGACGTCAAAGGAGCTCAATTTCGAAGACAAAACAAAATATTTCTAATCTCCTGAGAATTGAAAACCTRTTGTTTTGCCCTCCAAATTGAACTCCTTTGACGTAACATGCAAGGGGTAGTCTATTTGTGGTTTAGATTTCCCGATCAAATTTAATCGTTAATTTAATCGTTTTTATATCGTTTACAAAACGGCACTACCGAACAGTAGTACRTGTCGACAAATGACGATATCCTTTGAACCAAAATCACAGCGCTCGAAATCATTGCTCCACCAATGATAATGCTCAGACACGTCACGTATCGTGACGTGTGGTCACGACACACTAACCAAAAAGCAAATTTATGATTGTCAATGAATCTCAAGGTGCCGTGCCGTGCCAAGGATGTAAAAATTGATTTTTGACATTGCGATTGGTTCAACAAAGAGTCGGTTCCGTGCCGTGACTTTTCACTGCCGTGATAAGAAATCAACTTCATCTACTCCGTCACCAGTGCGGAAGAGTGAAGGTCATTTATTTTTTGTCTAAATGCACTAACGATTCGGCTCCAAATAGGCATGATGACGCCATAGTACTACCACTACCAAAATGCTTAGCAAATTCTCTTTGTTATTCAAATTTGTATTTCCTTTTGAGAATAGTAAGACAATTGGTGCTTAACTTACAATCATAAAAAACTGATCAGCATGAGCAATATATATACCTTTRCATTTTTTGAAGGTATGAGCTGTGGTTTCCTCAAGCTCTCTCCTTTTGAGCTGCACTGGATGGACTTGAGAGAGGCATAGCTTCATCTTTCATTTTTTCCTTACTTTATATACTTTATTTTCATATCGTTATCATTATACTAGATTTAAAACACTCATTAATAATTCTTAAGCTTATGGTCCAATTGGAGCCACCATACACGTCACGTGCATGAACCTTTATACCCGATAAAGTCCTCTTCATTAGTATTCAAGTGATTTTATATAAAGACACATGTGATCTTTATATAAAGACCACTCGAATACTATGAGGATGACTTCATCAGGGATGAAGTATGCATCCAAGTTTAGATGAAGACATAGAGCTTAGGTCATAGTCAACCCTAATGATCTTTGACTAACGTGCCTGTCTTTGCCTTGGCACGCAATATCCAACGTGTGGGAGCTTCTATTGAATCTGGTTGCGCATGCCCATGACGTCAAATCTCTATCGAAGTATAAAATTCCATGTTCGTGACGTGTATGGTGGCTCCAGTTGAACCAAAATCTTATAAATTGTTCATGAGTGTCTTAAGCAGTTCAAAAAACTCGTAGATCGTGTTTTATCAGGTATAAAAGCACTTGTGCTTTTATACCTGATAAAACACTCCTACTCGTTTTTTAAACACTACATATATACACCTGTGTTTCTTTATCTTTATGTGCATGCAGTATGTATATACATGTGCATATATTTACGTATGTGTATGTCGCTACATATATGTAAGTAATATGTATGTGCATGCATGTACAGAGCGTTTTCACGTGACGTCACAGCGGCCATTATGGGGTACCAAAACAATACATTTTCTATCCTCCGGGAATTGAACTCTATTTTTATGCAAATACTGTRCAGAATTAAAGTTTCTATTGTTTATGGCTGCCTTCTCACGTGAGTGAAAACGCTCTACGTTTTTCTTTTTATTGTGCGAGTTGTGTGTGTTAGCTTGTGTTCGTATATATTTCTCAGTATTAGTTAATATTTATAGATATTAATTTTTGCTTTTATGATCTTACTGTAAAGCGCATCGAGGCTCTCAGGATGCGCTATACAAATACTCTTTTATTATTATTGTTATCATCATCATCATCATCAT